TAGTTTCTGATAGAGGTCTCAATCAAAAGGCAACAAGAACATAGGAGGAACACTTTAGTTTAGACAAATTTCTCGGCCTTTCTTTTTGTCTTGATTTCTATTTATAATGACAACTTACAATGTTAAGTTCCTACAAAATTGGAGAAAAATGCATCATCGAAAAAAAAACGTCAACTAGTTATGCAAAAATATTAGGGGTTTGATTGGTTCACCCGCTACCACCCGCAAACGCTGTGTTTCCGGGCGGTTGCGGTTGATAGCGTTTACCACTAATCACGAACACCGCTTCATACCGCTTTGTATCGCTCCGTGCCGCTAGAAATTAAAAGCTTCTTCCCGCAAGATTGTTTGCGATTGCGGGCGGTAGCGGGTGGTTAAAAAAAAAACAATATCACGAGTAAATTAAATTAACGTGAACCCTATATTGTATCACGTTAGCAACCTAATAAACTAGTATAAAAGTCAACTGATCTGAACTATAATACACAACCTCTTTTGTTATTTGTGTACTTAGTCTTCCTCAACTGAGATCCAGAGAAGAAGGTATACTTTTTTTCCTTTTCATGATAATACTTTGGCTATATTTTGCAAATTATATTTGTTTTTAACCAATTTTTATTATATCCAGTGCATAAAGTGACGGTAATGGCTTCACGACATACCCGTGCTGCTTCCGTTTCTACAGTGGTAACTTTAATTTGTTCTGCCTTAGCTTCTAATATTATATAAAGAAGATGGTTTGATTAACATTGTAGTTTTCAGAAATATAATTGGTAAGCCGAGAGCACATGTGCGTTACTTCAATGGGTGATTGAAAAGATTGTTAAGTGGTCTCCAAAAAGAAAACATCCTTAAGAATTTTAATGAACAATTTGGAACTGCTTTGAGTTGGAGTAAAGCAAAAAACCATTTGGACTCGTTGAAGAAAGTTTACAATCTTTATAGGCGCAATCCTGAAGATCCACGAGTTCCACCAAATTTTCTGCAGTTTGTTACACTACTGAATGCAATTTTTTGTTGCTGAACCAAATGCATGAAGTAGTTAGCATGTCACAATAATTTTTCTTTTAAAATAATTTTTAGTGCTTTGTTTATGGTTTGTTCATTATTAATCATGTTGAATTAGTCGTT